AGCCATTTTAATGCCCCCAAACACCTGATACATCCTCACTGGGCTGACATAGGACTTGCAGGAGACTCATTCACTTCTGAAGCTTCAAGGTAACTTATACCAAATGCTATTCAAGTAATTTCAACATACTCAAGCCTGCACTACTGGTTGCCTGCTACCAACTCAGTTAGCCTGCCAGGCTCCTCCCTCACTGAATGCAGCTTAAATGCTGGAATATTTCCAAAATCTCTATTTGTATAGGAAATACCTTGGCCTGACAACCTGAGTAATTTTGATAGCACTGGCGTGCTGGTACAGTAACTGAGCAAACAAAGAATTTGCTCAGTCTCTGCAAGTCTCAGTAATAAGACAAGTAAGCCTATTAAATAAGAGATGCTGTACTGCTGCATTGAATTGAGTTGCTTTGGAAGCACCCAAAAGTTATTTGTCAGTGAACATCAATATATTATTTATATTCAATGCCACCAATATAATGTTTATATTCAATTTACATTCAAAGTCTCCCTTGTGAATAGAGCTTGAAACAACAAAATCAACAGAGCTGGCAACAGCTGAACTTTGGCCTCTTCATAGACAGAAATACACTTATCATCATAGAGTCATAGGATCATAGAATCACAGAATGGCCTGGGTTGAAAAGGACCACAGTGCTCATCTAGTTCCAACCCCCTGCTGTGTGCAGGGTCACCAACCAGCAGACCAGGCTGCCCAGAGCCACATCCAGCCTGGCTTTGAATGCCTCCAGGGATGGGGCATCCACAGCCTCCTTGGGCAACCTGTGCCAGTGGTAAACCTCTCCTGTCTTAGTTTAAAACCATTCCCCCTTGTTCTATCATTTCTTATATATGCTTCTCCAGGATTGCAAGACTCTATTGATGATCATTTGAAGTTTTTATGTATGGTGTATATATGAAAACCCTGCCTTACATCGTCCTGGAGACAACTATATGTTCACAGTCCCTGTTCATGAGCATCCTGTCCTTGTCCTCAAAGAGGACGTATCTGTACAAGCAGATATGACTGAAGATCTGGACAAATTTATTGTTTGCCACTGAAGTGGGTAATCTTATCAGATACACAATTTCTGATGAACGCTACAGAAAACAAGTATGCAAGAAGCCAAAGAAATGTATTCACACCATGCAATTCTTCTGCCATATTGCACAACTACTTATACAACGGGGGAAAAATCCTCTGTTGTAAGGGTACTGCCTAGAAGTGCCTGTTTTTCTCCACTAATTGAAAAAGAAAAAGAAACCTGTGACTAATCAGTTAGCTTCATACAATCTATGTGCTCATCTAACCACATTTGAGAATGGTCAGCGCACGTTTCACCTATTGACTCTCGTTTACGTTGGAAGCCTTAGAAAAGACCCATCCTGTGAGCGAGTTGTAATTGTCAAGCACACAAAGGGCTTTGAAAAATAAGCATTTGAAGTTTACAGTGCTCTGCAGAATCTGTCGGTCGCATGTCACGTTGTTTTAGTTCCATTATGATGGAAGATAAAGTGCATTTCCTTCACAAGGAAAGGAAAGACCACACGCAGGTTTTTCTAAGGCTGTCATTTTTCTAATTCTAAAATGCCATAACACCAAAGTGCCGTAACAGTGAAATGCCACATTTCAAGTGATTTCAAACTTTGTAAGAGTCAAAATGTATTGCTAAATGGCTTGCTAATTTTCATGTCCACAGCCTGACATCCCACCTCACAGAATTAGCTGTATTTTTATCGTGTATTGACTTTATTATAAAAGGAAAATCCACTACTGACAAAGTGTTACGGAGAATACCTCAAGTGTTACTCTTGGCCATTGCCTGATTTAAGTTCTTTACTATGAGACTGGTGAGGTGCTGAAACAGGCTGCCCAGAGAGGTTGTGGATGCCCCATACCTGGAGGTGTTCAAGGCCAGGTTGGATGGGGCCCTGGGCAGCCTGCCTAGCATTAGATGTGGAGGTTGGTGGCCCTGCCCTCAACAGGGGGTTGGAGCTTCATGATCCTTGAGGTCTCTTCCAACCCAAGCCATTCTCTGATTCTATGATTGATAATACAACCCTACTTTCACTATCTAATAAACAATTAACAGAATGACATCTAGAGAGTGAGATTTCAGAACACATTCGCTAAGAAATTTGACAACCATTCTCACCCACCAGTTACAGACCAGCACATTCAAGTACAGCTGGGTTCCCTTTTTACCATGCCCTGGATATGATAGACAGCCCTCCCTGCATATCATCATAAACCCTTCTAAATGGAAGGAGGAACACTGCTCAGAAAGCCTTTCAGTACCAGTCTACTTGCTTCTGTCATATAATTACATCAAAGTAGCTCCAAAATGACAACCAAATCCAAGCAGACCTGCAAGAAGAGTTTTATCCCCTAACAAGGACTTACTTTCCCACTGCAGAAAAAAATACAAACATTCTTACTTAACAGAAAAAGAGGAAGAGGTTCGGAGTAGTGTAGACATATCCATTAAAAAAAAACTTCTACCCATTAGCTATCAAAAATACTTGTGTAATATATTCCTTTCTCTTTTCTCTTTTCTTTCATTTCCCAGCTCTCAAACAGCTTCACAATCTATTATATTAGCAGCTATTAAGATAAAATTGTCCTAATGCATTAAATGTTGAAAAGTCATATAGATAGAAAAAGTCAAATGAAACGAGTCTCCTAATTCGCACAAACAATACTCCCCTCAGCACTCTCCCAGCCCTTGGATGGTTTTAGCTCAGAAAATATCTTTTGCTGCAGTTGTTTCTGTCTACATATTGGCTTTCCCTGGATTTTTCTTTGGTGAACTCGTCCAGTGCTTCCTTGGGGCCAAGTGAACTCTTGGCATCACAGCCTCCTGTGGTAGGGAGCTGCAGAACTCAATGAGCTGTTACATGAAAAATCACCTCCTTCTGCTTAATTTGAACCTGTGCTCTCACAATTTCAACAGTTCCCTTGTTAGAAAAGGGAACAAGAGCAAACACTCAGCTCCCGACTACTTCCCCTGTACCACAAATGACTTTGTAGCACATGCTCTCTCTTTCTCTTCAATTGCTTCTCACCTAAATGAAGAAGTGCTGGCTTGCTTCATCATTCCCTATGTGTGATACCTTCAACTATTATTAATGCTCTCTTTCAATCTTTTCAGTTCTTATTGGTTGTTTTTGATTTTTCTTTAGGAAAAGACAAGGGAAAATGGAATTCATATGGTAATTCACCAATGTCTTCCTTGCTATTCCTTTTTGCTTTTACAGCAGTTCTTGGTTACTACCAATAGCTGAAATGCCTCTTTGTAAACCTCAGGTCTCACAGCAGGCTGTTGCTGAACAGCTCAGAGCCCACAATTTCACACGTGCAGTCAGTCAGAGCTTTTCCTGACACATATCCTTTTGTGTTTACTTACACTTCGTTATATCTATGCTTTTATTGCCCACCTAATCTTTCACGAACCTTTTACAGTTCTGGAATTGCTCCTTACTTTTACTGCTCTGAATAATTCCATCGGTGTATTTTGTCATTTCACTGCTTATCCCTTTTGCCAGCTTATTACTATTTATTACAGCCAATAGGTGTGCTAACTCATTTCTGAATTCCTCTGAAGAGCTTGTGCAATTGCCAAAAACCGTAAGTTTGGAAGTCTCCTTGGCATTCACCTTAAGTGAAGGCAGATCCTCTGACAGGTTTCCCACAAAAAAAAAAAATGTTATGGGGTGGGATCCTCCTCACTGTCTTCCACAGTAAACATCAAAGCAAATAATTCCATTGGGCTTTTAGGCTGTGGTCTTATATATTCTTTTGTAATGGGGTCAAAGTCTCTGGCATTTTCTTCTGGTGTTTGAAGAGAGAATGAAGAAACTCTTCCATTGTTGAGGAATTACTGATGCAGAATCAGAGTTCATCCTAAGACGAATGGAGTGGAAGATAAGAAATTTAAGGAAGAAGGGAAATATCAGCAATTCTTAGTGATTACCAAGGCTCCGTATGCCTTGGTTGGATGGCTGCAGCCGGATGGTTGTTGTCAATGGCTTTGTGGCCAGTGATGAGTGGTGTCCACCAGGAGTCCGTCTTAGGATCGGTGCTCTTCCATTGCAATGACAGGCAGTGGCACTGAGTGCACCCTCAGCAGTTTGCTGATGACACCAAGCTGAGTGGTGCCGTTGACACAACAGAAAGAAGGAATGTGATCCAGAGGGACCTGTGCAGGCTTGAAAAGTGGGCTCATGTGAACCTAATGAGGTTGAACAAGGCCAAGGGCAAGGTGCTGCACTTGGGTCGGGGCAATCCCAGCTGTATGGACTGGGAGAAGAACTCACCGAGAGCAACCCTGCGGAGAAGGACTTGGGGTCCTGATGGACAACAAGCTGCACACCAGCAGTGGTGTGAGCCTGCAGCCCGGGAGGCCGACAGCAACTCGGGCTGCATCAGCAGAGGGGCGGCAGCGGGGACAGGGAGGGGACTGTATGAATATTCTGTTCTGTGATTCTGTGACTGCCTCGTGGGGCCATGAAGCAATGCTGGGGGAGGGATTGGAGCCGTGGGATCGCGTCCAGGGGAGGGCATGGGGATGCTCAGAGGGCAGGGGGATGCTCAGAGGGCACGAGGATGCTCAGATGGCTGGAGAGCTCCTGCCGTGCCGGAAGGCTCGACGAGCTGGGGGTGGTCAGTCTGCGGAAGGCTCCCGGGAGACCTCACTGCGGCTTTCCAGTACTCAAGCTTACAGACAGGAGGGGAAGCGACTTTTTACACGGTCTGATAGCGACAGGACAAAAGGGAACGGTTTAAACTGAAAGAGATTCAGACTAGATGTCGGGGAATTTTTTCACTGAGAGGGCGGTGAGACACTGCCACGGACTGCCCAGAGCAGTACGGACACCCTCGTTCCAACCCGCGCAGCCGCACACGCGGCACAGCCGCCCCTCGTGGCGGGGCGGGGCGGCAATGACGGCGGGCGGGAGCGGAGGCGTTGCTACGGGCGGTGCCTCCCGCATCTCCCTGCTCGGCGCTCTGCTGCTCAGGTCTGCGGGGCCGTTCGTCGAGTTCGGGCGGCGGGGAGATGCTGCTCGGCGCCGCCGCTTGAGCCGCGCTGCCAGGCATGGGGTTGGGCTCGAGCTCCGAGCTCCCGGACGGCGGCGCCGAGGGCTTCCACGTACACGGGGTGAGGCGGCGCGGGGCGGTGGGGGTTGTGGCGCCGCGCTGCCTCAGGCGGGCCGGGCCCGCGCTGCCTCAAGGGGGAGGAACTCGTGTGTGAAAAATGGTGGTGCTGCACCTGGGGAATGTGTGTGTGTGCGTGGAGGAAAAGCCCCAAGGGGCGATTGGAAGCAAATACGTAAATATCTGAGTTCACGGTTGTGGACTGCTTCCAGTATCTTGCGCTTGCTGTGTCGTTTCTGGTTCAGTAGAAGGTAAATATTGACTCAGGTGTAATAATTAACACCGTGTCTCTTAACGTGATTGCAGATTCGTATACAATCAAAATGTATACATATATGTTCTTCAGGTTCAGGAGAACTCCCCTGCTCAGCAAGGAGGGCTGGAGCCTTTCTTTGACTTCATCGTTGCGATAGGACACACCAGGCTGGTGAGTCCTTCTAAGACTTTATTTTCTTTTTTCTCTTTATTTTTTTTCCTGAAGTATCGTTACTGTGTGGGGTAGAAGGCAAAGCTGTCAGAATAGAGCATGGCTTGTGGGGCGTTGCACGTGGCATTAAAAAGGTAAGTCAAAACCTGAGGAGCCTTACTGATGCCTTCGGTCAGCCTGGCTTCTTTGCAGGTTAACTCTGTGCTTGTGGTGTTATTCGTGGGTGTTTTCTGCCACCAGGTGAATATTGAGCTGGTGAGTCAGTGGTGAGAGCTCAGCATTTGTTTAAGCAAAGTTGTTTGAACATTTGATAAAATAGGGGAAAGAATCACTGACAGGAAGAAAAGTGCCACGTGGCCTGTTTGCTTATGGTTTAGGGCTGGTCACAGTTCCTGAATGGTGAGTTAATGAGGAAGAATTAAGTGCGTTTTAATGCATTGTTTTGGTTTGGAAGATTCACATCTTTGGCCCAAGGATCAGTACTGATCAGCCAGGAAGTGCTGCCACTTACTGATGCGAACGTGCAGCTAAGATCTAACATTCCTGACTTACCAGAGGTTAAAAGAAAAGGAAAGTAAGCAATTAAACTGAATGAGAGTAGTTACTCTTTTAGAAGGACATGAGCTGACAGCGCACACTGCTTCTGAATAAAAGAAAACTGCACTGCTGGACTGACTGTAAAACATGAAGTCTAATGACTGCTTTGGTTCCTTGTATTCAAATTCTGCCACGAGCGTGACATCTGTGTTACGAGAGCAACTAGAAATAGCATTAACCATATATATGTATATGTATATATGTATCTCTCTACAGAATAAAGAAAACAATATGTTGAAAGATCTGCTGAAGGCAAATGCTGAAAAAGCAGTGAAACTGGAGGTGTATAACATCAAAACAATGAAGATAAGAGAGGTGGAGGTGGTCCCCAGTAACATGTGGGGAGGACAAGGTCTTCTCGGAGCCAGCGTGAGGTTCTGCAGTTTCCAGGGGGCCAATGAACACGTGTGGCATGTTTTGGTGAGTCAGAATTCCTTGCTTATCCAAAATAGTTGTTGCTGAGCTAAGAACAGAATGTAGACTTCCATTTCAAAGCTTCCTCCAAGACAGCAATATACTATTTTATTGGTGGAATATATTCTTTCTAGGAGGTAAACATCAAAAAGGTGTTCTATAGAGTCACAGAATGGTTTGGGTTGAAAGGGAGCCCGATCAAGATCATCAAGTTCCAACCCCCTTCCACAGGCAGGGCCACCAACCTCCAGTTTTACTGATCAGATTTGAAGCTTTTCATCTGGTGTGTGTGTTTTTTGTTAGATGAGGTATGCCATTTAGAAGGATTGCTAATTCATAGTCTGAGGTATTTCAGGAATGTTTTCATAAGGATTTACAGATCCTTATGCGTGAGAATGTTGCTGTATATGTAGAATGTAGTTGTGGGTGACTGTCTCTTGGTGGCTTGCTGGTGTTCCTATAACCTGGCTTTAAAGTGTATGTATTTTTAAGAGTAGTAGGTAGAAGTGCAGTGCTGAAATCACGAAGAGGAGGGGAACACAGTCGACAAAGCTTGAGCTATTTGAACAGAGACAAGTTGTTGTCTGTTAGTGTTGCCTGCCACTGAGAATAAAACGCATCCCAGCCCAAGCAGACCGTGCAGACTGCATGATGGGCAGAAGGGTGTTTTGTCTTGTTGAAGAAACAATAGCAAAGCAAAAAATAAAAATAAAAAGCAATGATTCTGGCTCAGTTGGTGCTTTTGTTTTTTCAACTTCACTCGTGTAGAAAAAGCACCAAAAAATTGTTTTAAAACCAAGAGGGAGAGCTGAAAGTGTAGAACAGCTTAGGAAAGACTGAGCTGGTCTGTTCTTATGTCTGTGATTCTTGAAGTAAATGCAACCTCTTATCAACTTCAAAACATCTCATTTCCAAATTGGTCCTTATGTATTTGGCATGTCTTACGCAGTGTTGCTCCTACTATTAGACTGCTTGAAAACTTCTGTGTTGTCCTGTAAACCAGATGTTCTTTTCTCCTGTTGTCTTTTGAGGTAGCTTTTAGTAATTTCATCTTCTGAGAGTGCAGGTGACAGCTGCCATTCTTTCACAGGATGTTGAACCCGCATCTCCTGCTGCTGTAGGTGGATTGCAGCCATACTCTGACTACATTGTTGGATCTGATCAGATTCTGCAGGAGGTAGGGTTGGTGTTCCTTCACATAACATCTTCATGCCTGCTGTGTTTATGTGTTAGGGTTTATAACCCTAATTGCATGCACACAGAACATATGGGGGTGGTTGTTTTGGATTTTGTGAGGTTAACGTTTGAGGTGCTTAATGGTTGAGCTCAACTTTACCAGTATTTACTCATTTATCTATCTATTTAAACCTGGCAAAGGAGGGGAAGGAAAAACAAGTGTACATTAATGAGTTTTAGTCTGTCTTTTGAGTTTTTAATATCTCACGTTGAAGTAAATGCCTCAAATACCCATTTGTTTCTAGTTCCTCATCTCATGTGTTTAATAACTGCTGTTACTTCTTCTCTCAGTCAGAAGATTTCTTCTCGCTGGTTGAGTCCCATGAGGGAAAGCCGCTGAAGCTGATGGTTTATAACACTGAAGCAGACTCCATTCGAGAGGTAGTTGTGACTCCCAATGGAGCTTGGGGTGGAGAAGGAAGGTACTGATCTGCGGACAGCCACTGGGTGATGACAGCTTATGCACTCGCTGTAAATGAGCTCTTGTTAAGAATATTGTCATTGATTACAGCTCGTTGTTTTCGCTTTAAGGCTTATTTCCTTCTCGTGTGAAACTGTTGATCATTAAAGAAAAGAAATAGCTGGGAGGTATTAGGCATGTTCTGGATCTAATCCTATTTGAGTTGATACTGATGGTAAAACTTATGCTGACTTCCTTGCTAGCAGATGCGCGAGCTACACTTTCACACTTGAGCATTTGGTGAAGCAAGAACGAAATGCAAATCAGGTCAGATCGTATATTTCATGAAGATATAGAAAATAGTTAACCAAGAGCTGAGCTACATCTATCTAAATATCATTTGCCTCGTGCTCTGTTAGTAGCAGAAAGGATTCTTGCAGGTAGGTATTTCCTGCTCTGGTTTAAGGACTCGAACTCTTTTCGTTTTAGAAGTCAGAATTTAAAAGGCTTACCAGCTTTGTTAAGGACTTTTTCCAAATCTTGTTTTACTTCTGTTGTGCAGTTTGGGGTGTGGTATTGGATATGGCTATTTGCACAGGATTCCAACACAGTCAATAGCATCAAAGAAAAAGCCAGAAAGCAAACCGCCTTCGCCCTTACCAGAAGCTGGAACTCCTGTACCATCCACTAATGGTTACACAGAGGTACGTAGGAAGTAAGATCACACACCCTATGGGATTTCATTTTCCTTTAATTTCCTGCTTGTTTTAAGATTCAGAATGCAGTATTTTTGAGCACAGCAGAAGTAAGAGTTGATGACGCCAAGCAGATGGCAGAAATGATGGCTTGGGAGAGAAATAGACTTTATTGCCTCAAAATTCCATCTGGTATCTTTCTGTATTCATCACTGTAGTTTGGGTGCAATAATGAATATTCCTCCAGTTATTCTTTCATTGGTATTGGCTGAAATGCATTTTTGTCAGATCCTTGCTGCTTGTTCTGAGGATGTGATAACTGTCTGAATCAGTGAGAAGATGGCTTAGGATATCCTTGTGACTAGGAAATAAAATATACCTACAAGAGTTAAGTGTCAGCTGTTCAAAGAACACGTTGGCTTTGAAAGAATGTTTTAACCATAAACAGTGACTTGATTATTAGTTTCAGCATCAAGTTCTCTCTGAATAGATGGACTTAGAGACCGAGGCAGAACACTGTCTCATGGGAAGACTGATTTCAGGTGACACTTGCAGCATGAAAAGATGTGTTTTACTCTGTCATTCCAGGCTGCATTATTAGCACCTACTTCTCAAAGTGACAACTCTGAAGTAGTTATGAACCTGGATCAATCCACAGGCCAAGAAATGAGTGGGTATTCACCAGAAAGCTCACTTTCTCCTCCTCCCCCTCTCCAGAGGGTTATGGATCCAGGTATGTTTTCTTTCACGCTTTTTCCAGCCTACTCCCTTTCAAAAGGAAGAGGACATTTAAATAAACCAAAAAACTCTAAACAAGTTTGAGAATTAAATACAAGACCATGAGCAGTGGTGTAGAGCTGAATAAATTTCAGTCTGCATGTCTCTTTTGAAGCTGAAGTTTTCTGTTAATCTGAAAGTGTCACAACATTTTCTTTCTTCAGGGTTTCTCGACATGTCTGGTATTTCACTTCCTGAGCTCACTGACTTAACAAACGTGTCCAGCATTTCTTCCTCTGCCTCCTTCAGCATGCCAGCAGCAGGCTCTTTTGTAGGCACTGAAAAGCTCATGTCAAACAGTGACCCTTCTGCTTATTTTGGTAAGTGTACTTTGGGTTTCCAGACCTCTGAGCTCAGAGACCTCAGAGCTGAGTAAATGCAGCTGGTGTATTTGGCAGCTGTGAATCTGTGTGCTGTGCCCGTCAGAGGCTTGCCATTCAGTCTGATTCTTTTGGGCACCATAACCAGAGGCACTGACAGGAATTGGTGTGTGTTTGGTTCTTTGCTTTATGATATACTTCTTGATTTCCCAGAGAACACCACAGCTTTGAGCCCTGAAGATATAGTGAAGAGTCCTGAAGGCTCTGCCAGGCAGCCAGAGTTGGACCACCTTCTGCCTACAGCATCATCTTTACCTTCTTTTACTCTTCCTAATGAAATTTCTTCAAAAACAGCACTAGAAACTGATCCCCAAAACCAAGAAACAGTGCTCATGAACAGTTTTGAGAGCTCTCAGCCCACTGCTCAGGTGAAACCTGATGATGAAGCAGTACCTGAACAGAAAGGTGACGAAGCTCCACAAAGGCATGAGTGAAACAGATGCTGCTTCTTTTTACACGTGAAAGTATGCTGTAAAATTATTTTGGAATATTTTTATGATGTTGATAGAATTACATCTGTTCTATTTTGTTAGTGTAGACAACACTATAAAAAAACATATCCAGGTGAACTACATGTTGTATTGTCTTCTGCAACCGCTGTTCAGCAGATTGGTCTGCATTCAAACTTTGAATGCCATCCAGAGTCACCAAGTGGAAGGCAAAATTAATGTGGAAACTAGTTGGAGAATGGTCTTGAATGGAATCAAACGTCTGAGTTTCCTTAGTGACAAAGGAACAGCTTTTCCTCTGCTTTTCTATTTGCTGTTTTCCTACAGATCATTAAGACACGGGGGTACATCATGGTGCAGCAGCATTTATTGCTTTTTGTAGCTTTATTTTTTATCTTGTTTGCACTTGTTTTCAAATAGCTTCTGAAGGCCTGGTAGGTGGTGAATAGTAAATCTGAAATGAACAATGAACAACGTGAGGGTGTTTTTTATACCTCTCAGGGCAGTGATTTATCACTAAATTTTACTGCTTCTGATTGGGAATACCCTCAGTGTAGTTGGTACAGTTAAGGTGGTGAAAATCCTCAACGATTGAAGGGAACTGGGTACCTGTGGGTCAAAATGTTCTTTATATTCCATAGTCATTGTTAGTTTTAAACACAGTTTTGATGTAAAACAAGGCTGCCCAAGCAGTTCTATGATTCTATGATCTGATTCTATGAAGTCGGGAGGGGATCAGAATACTTTCTTCCTGCTTAGAAGACAAATAGATTACGCCTTAAGTAGAGGTTGCAGAATTAAAAGACTTGAAATCCAGTCTGCTGGATGGCCTGCTAATACTGATCTTTCTACTGCTGCTAAAATAAATTTCTTCTTTTATTCCCTTAATTGACTGCTAGAGGAGTAAACATCCAAACAAACACTAAAGGTTTATAATAATGTAATTTAAGCTAGAGGTAATTTCCTAAGCCTCAAAAGTGAAGGCACGCAGGTGATCTGTTATTTCTTACTGTTTGTTTAGGACTGCTTCCAGCATTGCACCTTTACCAATGTTGTTTTTAAGCTTATAGCAATACATTTAGGTGATGCTGTACCCTAAGCACATTTTCGAACCTTCAGTGGAGGAAGTGTCAAAACTGAATTGGAAATGCTATAGGAATAAAGAGCTTGATGCTTACAGCAGCCTGTGTCCAGCCTGCTTCATTGTAAGTGGATCTTGGGACTGGGAGGAGTTGGTTTGATGATTTGAGCCCAAGGAACATTTGTCTGATAGAGCAGTTTAGGAAAGCCTAGTATGTTCTATTCTTCTAATAGAAGGTTAAGCTTCATTTAGCACTAATTCTCAATTCCTGATCCCCTGCCAGGTTGGAGATTAAGTCTCAAGATGCTTGAATTTACCTACAGTATAAGAGTAGAGATCATAACGTCCAAGCAGGCACTGATGGGTTTGAGTTGGGTGCTTCAGCTGCTGCAGGGTTCTGAATTTCATCTCAGCTGGTACCAGGGATTACTGCAGGAACTTCCGTATCTTCTGCCTTCCACTGTTTTCAAGTGAGAGCAGCTGCAAGTCACTAATTTCATTTAATTAATGGTACTAACCTGTTATTCCTGGCCACCACCATTCAAACATCCTTTTCCCTTCAGAGAAGCACTAATTTGCCTTGGCTGAAGGTCATGGCAATTAGCCTGGTCACTCTCCTACAGAATATAAACAACTGAACTAATAAATCCCAAATCACATTTTTTCCCCCCCCCACCACCTCTTCTGGCCATGAGTTAGAATTTAACGCTTTGACTTCATTTCTGAGTAGGGTTTTTTTTTTTTTTTTTATGTATAACTTTTAGTCTTTCTGAATTTCACACTAAATCCTTCAAGTAGTTGTCCTAAAATGATATATTTCAACTATAACTACTGCCTACAACTGCTGGTTTCAGCACTACCCTGACTGAAGGGAAAACATCACCTGCCCCAGTGAATCTTTTTCCTCATAACAGGCTCTGTCTCTCAAAACTTGATTTACAAAGCCTTTCCAATCTGAGCATGGAATTCAAGAAGCTCCTGCAACTCAATGGCCTTTCCTATGATTCTTGCCATCTCGATCTCTTGCTCTGTTTATCATGCACCATTGGGATGTGTCTCAAGCTGACTTTGAAAAAAGTGCACCACTGGGTGGTGCATCTTTTGTTCTCTCCTTCAGGACTTCCAGGAAGCAGTTCCAAAAAACAAGATGAAAATTAAAAGATGAGCAAAAGAGATTCCTCCTACCTGCTGTTCCCTCTGAGAACTCTGGAAATGCATTTGGCCTCTACCTTACTGCTCTCTGCTCTCAGAGCATCACAACTGATAGCACCCAAAGGAAATACTGAGTATTCCATTTCTGCACTTTCAGAATCACAAAACAATGGTGTTTTCCCATTTGCCATTTACAGCACTGTTTCTACATCCAGAAAACTCACTTGAGCTACCTCTACCTATGTTCTACACTGCTGTTAGCACACAGATGAGTAGAAGACGTGCTAGCTTAGTTCTGAGCCACGTTTTTTATTCAAGCAATGAGTTTGTTGAGTTAGGTTAATAGTGCAGAAGGCAATGATTTTTTGCACTGCTTGCAAAAGCAGCATTAATTGTGCACATTCTTCATCTCAACAGCATCTCCAAGTTTGCATTTGAAGGCCTGCTACATTCTCATATTCACCCACATTACAAGATCACCTTGGAAGGATTTGATGAAAGCACTGCAGTTACCTCAGCCATTCCATTCCTTGAGGCTTCAAAGTACTCGGAACTCCTTTGCAGTTCAGCCACTAAGTGGCAATGGTACAAGTTATAAACTCACACAAGTGATCCAATACACAAAACAGTTTCAGACTTTTAACTAAAGCCTTTTATTCTATACAATTGTGAAACATCATTTATCCTTCTGGCATTGCAGACTCCTCTGTCAATCTTCCCTGAAATTGCAGTTTTAGGATGTTTTGGAAAAAAAAAAGGAAAGAGGAAAAATTACAGCATTGGGTTGTTTCTAACAAAATTACTGGGAGAATGTATGGTGGGTCAGCAAGATGACCAGAAAAAAGTCTACTGAAACAAAGCACAAACCCTTGCTATTAGTTAATACAAGCCAGGACAATTTATCAATAAAAATTACAGTTGTGTTTTAAGCATTAATTCACAAATACTACTAAAAATGTGCAGAGATGCACAACCGCATTAAAGTGAGCATACACAGAAATGGGCTCTAAAAACTGAAAGCAACCCCTCCAAAAGATGAGTAGAAGACGTGCTAGCTTAGTTCTGAGCCACGTTTTTTATTCAAGCAATGAGTTTGTTGAGTTAGGTTAATAGAGCAGAAGGCAAAGATTTCATTTTTTCGAATAAAATACAATGAAAAATATTTCACTTTTTGTTGACCAATACAATCCCAGTAACACAACCTATTGGGACTTCCTTTAGGCCTCAACCTAAATCTTGATAGCAAAACCCAGGAAGGGCAAGAGCACGTGTCTCCCAAAGAAACTCAATGTACTGCCCTCTGAAGGCACTTGTGCTTCTGCTTCAGACAAGTCATCTTTACATCATTTCTTTATGAGGATTTCAATTTGTTCTGGATACAAATGGTTTTCCTGGGACAATCCCACATTTTCTCAACAAAAGCTGAAGCACCGTTCCCCCACTCCCCCCCAATAAGTTAAACTATAAAAGACTACTATGAGTCTGCAACAGTCACAGGTTTTTCTTTGTTTAGAAATAACAGTGAAAAGAAGATCCGCATCTACAACAAAAGAACAACTGCATATAAAACTTTGGAAGAAAAAAAAAAAAAAAGAGTAAGTATTTTTACATCATGAATATGAAAATCTGCTGTGAATTGTCTGGAGTTCGAGGTGAAACACTGGAAGTTATATTCAGAACGGTCTGAAGTTTAACAAAGTGTCACATAGAGCAGAGTTACCAAAAATTAGACTGCGGTGTCCTTAGAGCACAAATTGCCAGAACTGGTTACATAGATTAAAAAAGAATTCATTAGGTTGCAGCAAAGCATGTTCACCCTATTGTGATGCACAGCATCCTTGGACTGACCCTGCTACAATATTTACCCAGTGTTCTTGTTTTGCAGACAACAACTCTCTAAAGCAACGTTCAAGTCACAGTATTAGAACAAGTCTGATGTTAATCCTCCATCAGCAATTAAGCAGGCCAGTTCTCTGAAGTATGCATTACCTATTTACTAAATGCCTTTAAGGGACAGAAATGGTTCAGTAACCCGAGAGACCACTGTAGGTACTTTATGAATGGAATGTAATAAAAATACTGCCCGTGCAGTTCTGAATTATGTTGTAAATACCACTACTCATTACTATGATGGAAATGGTTTCATATCAAGCGTGAGCAGATGACAATATAAAGTTCTGGAAAAAAAAAATACAGCAAAAAAGGAAGAAGCAAAAGTCTGCACTGGATTATCATCCATTCCCTGTACACCTCATACAACGTCAACCACTCAGGGACCTCCCATCTCAGTGACTGAGACTAGGACAGATTTTAGTTTAAATCATACAGGTTTTTTTTCCTCTATATTACAGATCAATTAGTCACTTCAATTAAATGCATACTCTCCATCCATACTGAGTCATTAGAAGTCTCATCTACCTTAGGGGTTCAGTGGGCTTCTATAGCACTACTCCTGGAACCAGAACATTATGGTCAAGTCAATGAGTAACCATGTAAGTCCACTGCTCCCCTTCACGTTGATTTCTGGCGATAATGAAGCGTCAGATCACCACCACTCTTCCAGATGAAGTGCTTTACAGTCCGAAGGTCCATATTCGGATCCAAAACCTGAATAGCAAGAACGTCATTTACTGCATAAGTCTGCTGCATTGTCAGAATACTCAAGGATGCAACACTGTGGTTGGGCAATATACTCCTATGAGTGAACTGGCATCAAACATCAACCATGCAAGGGCTCAGATCTGTCATCTAGCAAGCCAAACTCTTGTGTTATAGAGAGGTCTTTACCCACTTACTGTATAATTTCATTAACCACCACTTCCTCAATATTTAACCTTCATGCAAGCAGATGTCAGGAACAAGTTCCTGATTAAAATTTGGAAATGGATGATTTTTAGAGCTCACATCAAGAACTCTGCCAAACTTTTTTTTTTTTTTTTTTTTTTTTTTCAGTTTCTCCCTGCTTGAGTTACAACAGGCAATGAATCACATTAATCTCCCTAATGCTGAGTCTGTTTTGTTTGTGATGGTAATTACTGAGTGACCTCCTTGTCCTAATCTCAACTCTTGAGCCATTTTCCATCGTCTTTTCTCCTCTCCCTCCTTTGAGGAAAATGACTAAGAGCAATATGGGAGAGCTCAGCAGTGCATACATGTGAAGCTATTGCATGATTCCATAAAGGCTGGTGGTCAGAACTGAATGAAGTAGGCATGCTTCATGAATTCTCTGGCCCAGCCATCCACTACTGCCTGAACTGTCAGTTAACACGATAAGATGGTTTGTTCTTACTTTTAAATGCAGCAGATAATCTGTGGTATATTTCCATCTCAGTACTCAGAAATTCACAACTGCTTGACTGTTAGAAGCTGGTTTTATTCATGAGCTAAAAATTCCTGAGTGCCTTACTTGGTCCTGGCAAAGAAGTTCAATTTTCTCCTCTGCGAGCACAGCGATGTCCTCCTCTTTTTCTTGTTCTCCTGCTTTCTCATTATTGGAAGAACTAGTTGTCTGAGACTCATTATCCAAGTTTATGATCTTCTCATACACGTGCTCCATCACTTTTCTCACCTGAAGCATATCACTTGCTGACAGCCGGTCTCTACAGAAGGTAAATAAAGATTGGCAAGACATAACTTGAGGGAACTATTTCTTATTTCCATCATACTCTATCTATAAGCAAACCATTAAATTTTGCACCTATCATAATACAGAAAGATGAACAGGATCATCCAAACAAAATACCGTGACACAACAGCTGTCAATCCAAAGAGCGGCACAAAGGATCTCAGAAAAGCAGCAAGATATCTGACAGACTGAATTCAAGAAATCAAACCTCATTAGGTTAAAAATCAAACCTTATTCTTTCCAAAGAAAAGGAATTAGTAAGAGAAGGACAGAGGATATGGAACAAGAATATGCTGTTCTTCCTACATTACAAAAAGGGAATTCTAAACAAATAAATGGCAGTTCTTCCACAACGCACACAAGTCTGTGGAGCTTCTCTTTCACAAATTGTCTCTGATGTGAAGAACTCAGCAAAGGAACCAGAAATTTATGAAAAAACACTCAGAATTACTGCAAATAAATTGTAGGTGTCTTGCCCACCTTACTGACTTGACATTTGAGAACCTGCACTGATTTCCAATGTATGCAGCCCACAGGTGATGGGCAAACCATGTTTCCTGCCAGGTTCTGTACCTTTTCCTTCTAAAAACTATTATTGATCACTGTTAGAAAGAGGAAAAGAACATAAAATTGTAGTTCTGGACAGTAGGACAATCTGAAAGTTCCTCTGTGCTCTGATGGAACACTACAAACAAAACAACACCAAATCAAATTTCACTATTTGGTTTTTCAGAGATTTCTTAGCATTAACTTAAGAAATTGTCAGTTGAAAGAAACTTTACTTTCTTCCAAAGATTCTGATAGAAATGAACACTTTAGAACATTGCTGCTTCAATGACTGCAAACTGTGTTCCACAAGTAAATGAAGCACAGTAAGATTCTCTCCAGCAATATGTTTTTTTTGAGCTTACAATTCCCTTTATGCAATGTTGAGACTCAAATATGCACTATTACTTACTTTTTTAGAGTTTTTGCCCCTGAAGACGAATGAGGTTGGAGGTAGAAGGGAATCTTATTGAATTTGGGCATATTTTTCTGGAAGGAAATAAATTTGGAAAATGTTAAATTTAGAATAAACTATTACCAGCTCCCATTGCCACCATCTGGTAAGCAAAGTATAGTCAGTTCCTGATTACCAATAACCAAGAGGTTCTTAATAAGCAACTACCACAGACAGCTTCCAAATTACTGACACTTCTAATGTGCTCCAGTTTCAGTGAGGCACATACTGCACCTACCTTCTGAACGTAATTACTGTTTGCTTCAAAGCAAATCAGACAATATGAAAATACAGCAGCCATGTAAAGGTTACTCTCTATACCTGAGCTCTACACTTGAAAAGGACTCCTGTTATACACAGCGATTTGAGATCCTTTTCTAAGCCTTCAATGCACAAAAAACCTTAACTAGACACGTCAAAAAAAATCATGCTTATTCATGGGTGTTGAGTACAGCCCTTGAGAACACTTATTTTAAAATACAGTACGTGAGAGGCAGAAAAATTGAACGTGTTATTCAGATTGAGCTCAGTTAAAGATTTTGTAGTTGACCTTCAACAAACAAAACCTGAAGCCTACACGTGGGAAACTTACATCCACAGTGATGTCAATCACCCATTGTGGCACAGTCTCATTCAGAAGCATAGACTCCGTTTCACCACCTGAATCCCGACACAATAACCTGCAGAGAAGTCAGCTCTATGAATGGAAACGTTCAGTGTACAGAAATCAATCATGACACACATTAAAAAGCATTCAGGAGGATGTGCCCTTTTAACGTGCTTGAAGCTAGGTTAGCTAGCCTTTCACAGGATCAAGCTTACTGAGGAAGTGGTCAGGTATTTCCTACAAAGGAAAATGAGTGTAACTACATGCAAGAAGGATCTCTAAGGCAAAAATAAGGAGAACTACAGGCTGCAGCACAAACCATGGAACTACTTTGCTCATGGACTGCATGTGTGTTTTGTGTTGTAAGCACAAAACCTGAAGGGGGAAAGGCAGCTGACAAAAGTTCTTTCCTGCTTGGGAAAACAGAGCTCTGCATGTAAAATATCTGCTAAACTCTCACCGAATTGAAAGAATAAAAATAATTTTAAGGAATGTGCACATACAGCAATGAAACAAAACCAAACATTTATGTTAATTCCTTCATAGCAAAGCACACCTCGTTTTCATAAATAATTATCAAGTATTTCCCCAGAGATCTCTGCAATCCAACTCTTAGGTGCAACACGCAAAGCTTGTTTCCTCCAATGGTGTCATTTTAATGTTCTCTTGAGAACAAGCTGTATAACACCTGAATCCACCATACAGAATGAATGCAATATTAAGCTTCAGCCAAGATGTATATACACTAATACTGGAAAGAAAAATCCAGCTTTCAAAGCTGAAAAGTGTAACCCTATTTTGCTGATCCATTCACATACTGAAAGTTACATGGTTTTGGAACCTATGCAGCTTGTGAAAGAAAAAACAATAAACCCAAAAGGACCACCTCCCAGCTTTAAAATTCACTGTTAATAAGTATTAACTCTCTGGTGAGCAGGAGCCACTCTGTCCAAATCAGTAATGCTCAGAGACGAATGTAACAGATCTGTAACAAAGTCCTACAAGAATCTGAAACATTGCAGTTTCCTTCTAAAACAAAGTTCAGTTTACCTGTTTGCAGGAAGAGGGCACCAAAAAATACCTCACAGCTACAACACAGAACTAAAAGCTATCATAACTCTCAACACCATAAGACCCCTCACCTTGTGGGGGTCTCCAACAAGGATGTCAGCTTGAACAATGCAAGGAGTATTATAACTGCTTATTTTGTCTGCCAAGGGCACATCTTCAATGCATAGCACACAACAAACACAGGTGACTGCATGTTGATAAGGCAGGAAGTGTTTGGCCACTTAGTACATGCTTTTGAGATTCCATACCTGAACAAAGTGCGTCCTCCAGCCTCACCAAATATAACTGGTGTATGTGGTGGTACTTGAAAATATCCATTTCCTTTCTGGACTCTGTTTTCCTGCTCACCATTCACTGCTGGAAAAAAAATACACACACCAATAAGACTGCACTATGCCTTAAAACTGGGTGTACACAGACAGAAAAAAATATCTTCTCCATCTGCAGTTAACCAATTTCATAAATGAAACAAAATCATCAGCTCTGTAAGAGAAAGCAAATCCCCATTTCCAACACATAGCAAGTCTATCAGAAGGAAACTTGTGAGTAAAGGGATTTTCCTCTGTGTTTTCAGAACTCAGAAAGATAGTAGCTTTGTTTTTCTACATGGATTTGCCAAATGTCAAGATACAGTACTAGTAAAGCTCAAACTCACACTTCTTTAAGTTACTGCATTCTACATTCATTTATTTTTGCACAGTTAGTAGTCTGGTCTTCAAACACTTGAAGAAATGATTCTACATCCACACAAAATCAAAAATTAAAAAAAAAAAAAAAATCAGCATTAATTATGCAATTTTTGAAGAAAATTAATTTTGTCATTCCAGTACCTTGAAACATAAGTTCTAAGTATTTAGACTCACATCTTCCAAAAGTAAAATCACATTAAGCAAAGAGCCCAAGAAAGAAAAATCTATTATTTATCAGAGAAGGAATGAATGTAATGCTAAGGTAGAGCAGGAGAGAAGTCCTACAGTTTGAGAGATTTCCTCATGGCAGCTGTTAACAACTGGTAGTAACAGTAAGAAGCAGTTCTCATCTCTTTCTTTGAATTGTTACTTTTGAGAAGGAAAAATGGAGGCTCTGATTCTGTAGTGAATGTTCTGAACATTTCACTAATCCATGACAACTCACAGAAATAAGCAGCGTGGCATGAATATGCCAACACTACAAAAGCTTGAGAATTACACTTCTATACTGACTCCAAAGCTGTGGGCAGTCAGTACAAAGAAGTATGATAATCAGCAAGGTTATCCAGAGAAGTCTGCTAAGTGCTGCAACTGTTAAAGAAACAAAAACATAAAAAGAGAAGAACAAATCTCAAAGGAAGAAAAATATTAAAACACCTACTATGATTTATTTCATTTTCTTCTTCATCCATTGGATTGATGTGTGTTCTAGGCCAGTACTCCAGAAGCGCTTGCAATAGAAGCCCTCCAAGGTTCACTGTCAAGACACAGCCAGAACTTCAGTTGCATCAAAAGCATTGACTTATAACATCCTACATTTGATCCACAGATGAAAATTCTCCCCAAAGTTCCCAAAGCAAACTAATCATTGGCACAGACATCTGCTTATCACAAACTCAAAACTGCAGGCTAAATCTTTTAGAACAAGCTGATTTTTCAGAAAGACTCAAGTCTCAGAATCATTACTGCTGGTTCATTGACTTAACTCAACATTCTCTAGTTTTAATAGTAGCTCTACGTTTAGGAATATCACTTTTTCCCTTTTGCTTCCTGGATGTCGAAAACCAAGTGGGATAATAGCAGGGTGGCAAAGTCTTTGGCTACAGCAAATGAGAACAAGCCCAAATACAGCAGCCACAGATGCAGAAATGAAGGAAAAGAGCTGCTTACCATTGGAAGGCCTCAGGTAAGCAGGGATCTCTGGCAAGAGATGCCCTCACCTCCACTGTTTACCCTTAAATGAAGTGTGGGAAGGGGTGGATCCTGGCTCCAACCCTTGCAGTCAGTCAGGCCCACTGCTTGCACCTGACCTCCCCTTGGTTGGCCCTGTTTCTCACCAGGTGCTCAGTCACTTTTTCAACCCATAACTTAGCATTTCCACTGCACCAAGCCAAGAAGAAAAAACTACTTGAACATTTCAGAAAAAAAAAAAAAACACATTTTTTTCTTTGGAGAACTCTTTGCAAAATTTAGTCTCCAGAAATTCTCTCTAAAACCCAATCAACAACTGATTTGTCCAACAAACGTTTTGTAACGTAAACACTGGAACTGGTTCTGCTTTTGTGTTTCAGAGAAGGACCACTAGTGGTAAAAACGTACATTTCGGATCGGAACCATCTGGACTGCTGAACCCAGCATCTTTTGCTGAAACCCAAGCTGCAAAGCAGTCACTTTCATCCAAAGTAATTGTCAGCATCTGTTGGAAAAAGACCATGAGAGCAAGAATGCAATAGTTGTGTTGTACTAAACAACCCAACAAATTTACTGAAGGAACAGCTGGGAATACAAAGAAAAAAAATTAACTCCTAACTGTATTGTGAATTTAAAGTGACACAATAGTGTAGAAGTCATACAGATTATTAAGAATGGAGGTACAATGTATTGATTTGCTTCAACGTAAGTCAAACTCATCAGACAAATGATAAGTTCTTCAAAACTTAGAACACGTTATAATTGTTGTGAAGAAACAGTATACAAAATATGACACCAGAAGAAGAGATTTAGGATTTGTAGCTCACCCCAGTTTTCAAGTCTACTGAGAACCAGTTTGGCACATACACCATTTTAAATCTCTTCTTAATTTCCTCTTCAAAATCTACTTTCCCAAGGTCTTCAACTTTACATGCCTGTACAGCAGAAGGGATACAGGAATGTTTCAATTCTGCACATTGAATCATAACACAACTCTTAGAAACTTATACTTGATTTTCATATGCACTCAAAATTATTATCATTTCTCCACAACCAATTTAGTTCAGAAACACACAAGTTAAAACTTCGAGTTTTTGTCCATAAATTGAAGAACACATTTTTTTTTCTGGAGGTAAAGCATCAAGCAAGCAGAGAAGAAAAAGAAAGAAAAAGTGAATCTTAAACACAAGTCAACACACTTTGACTTGATGAGTAACCCATCTCTACAGTGAGTATGTATGCAGCTGTAGCTAAGAAAAGTTGCTGAAAACCCTAATAACAAAAGCTAAAAATAACTGAATGAAGGTACCAAATTAACATTAACGCCTGCCTTGGTCCTAATGTTGTTCTCCAGTATGTACCACTGCAAGCCAAAAGAAAATATTCCGTTTTCTGCAAGTCCTCTGAAACATTTTTAGTACAAATCCACGTTCTTCATTCTCATTCCCTTCTTTCTCACTTCAGTCAGCAGCTCAGTAACACAGCTGAGCATGCTTTATTAAAGGACTGAATTGAAAGCAAATGAAGATGTGATTATCCAACCTAACATTGGCAAAGAAGCTCTTAAGATGCAGAAAGGCATCTTCTCTCCTCTTTCAAAAAAGTCATCTTTGCATTATGTCTTAGGACAGAAAAATGACTTATTTTTCAACCAGAAAAAACTCCCATAACAAAAAAAAAATTTCAGTACCCCTCCTTCCTACCCCCTTCCCCCCCCCCGAAAATAATTACTGATACAACAGTAGATGTTTAATCTAAAATCATGTACTTACTTTTAAGACATCCCAGTATGCCACATTATTATTTGTGTCTTTGGTTAATATGTGTCTCTTGTCATTAAGAATGTGGCACTGAATGATACTAGCACCCCCTGCCAAACAAACAAGAATTAAGGTCACTACACTTCTCTTTTTGTCTAGCTTTACAGTAAATTAAACCACATAACACAACAGCAGCGATTATTCTTTGGTTTACCTCTATTATGCAAGCACCAATATTTAAATGCTATTCAACCACAATTAACACTACATAAATGATACTCGTGCTGTCTTTGATTTTATTTATCACGGTTTTGCCCAGCACAGAGTTAATTTTCTCTGTAGATGCTCACACGATGCTGTATTTTGGATTTTTGATATAAATAGGGGTGACAGCACCGATGTTTTCATTTGCTGCAGAGCAATGCATGAAGTTATTACAGAACAGTCCTTAAACAGAGCCATTTCAGAAATCAAAGTGTCAGACAGCTGAGAACATGAGCTGGTCTTAAAGATCTACCATTTCTGCTAATGATAACATTTCACAAGCACTCAGGAAAACAGCTGTTTACCTTTTATAACTTGGTCAGGCTGTGTACATAGGGGTGGTATAGGATTGGTACAATCATTATCATAGTCCCCAGATGCTCTAAAATTATGAATTCCCTTCAAAGTCTAAAGAAGCAAAAAAAATAAGGACACATTCAATCATTTCAAAAACTTTGCTTTTATCTTGACTAAGAAGTGCCAGTTTGTGCTGCTATTCAGATGTTAACCACTCAGTGTTGGATATTTAATAAATAGAAGCAGCATAGATAATAAAGGAATTAATTCAAAGATTTGTATATTTTGGTCAACTTGAGTATTCACATTCTATAATTTAAACAAAGAAAAAACGTTATAGATCATCTCAACTCAGTCCAATTGCAAGTAACACTCCATTAGATCCTAAAGCAAGACTGCAAATCCACGATGACGTATTTGAATCAACAGAGCATAAAATATTTCTCACTCACCCATTTATTCACAGAGGATTTAGTTGTTGCAACCCAAATTGCTGGAGGAGGATCAGCTGATCTATCAAGTTCCATCTAGATAACAGAATTATAGATACTTTCAGTCACTCAATTTAACTTTGCTCTGTGTATGCACAGCTTGTATAATGGCTTTCCTCATGAATCCACCATCTTGGCTTAAGTGTATAAGCAATATACATACATATATACACATTTATATGGCTTATATACTGGTTTCTGTTTCAGTCACACTTTTTACACCTACACGTTCCACTGCCATCCATGTCATTAAGTGTTACAGATAATTAAAAAACATTCCATCAGCAGACTCTTCAAAAGCAGTGTCCTCAAAAGGCTCAGACTCATGCACATGTTCTTTCCCAGTTTAAGATCACATTGTTTCAGTGTTCAGAGATCTTGCTGCTGGTTCCAGTGATTATGTAAAATATTACTAATACAGTTCTGTACATATATTTCTAAGAAGCAATTAATTTTTTATCTCAAGCCTTGGCACAGCTGATTTGCTTTCTAAAAACTGTACTAAAGCCCAGTAAAAAAAAAAAAAAAAAAAACTTTCATATTTAAAACATGCTCAATTTCAGTAATGTCTGAATTTATACATTTTTGATAGCACTCAGGTATTTCTTCAGACAAATAAGTTTCAGATGTAATTTAAGACAAAAAAAACCCAAAATATTGGAGGTTGCTAGTCAGGTAAAAATGTGTAGCATACAATCTTTTGTCAGCATACACCTCAAGCCACTGTTTTGTTAGACAGGATAAGTGCCAGGACAAGAAGCAGATGGCACAAACTGAAAAACAAGAGGCTCCCTCTGAAGATCAGGAAACAACTTTTTTTTTTTTTAATATTATTAATATTTTATAGATTGTGAGGGTCACCAAGCACCAGAACAGGTGTTACAAAGCATCCCCTCTTGGAGATTTCAAATGCTATCTTGAACTGGTCCTGGGAAACTGGCTCTAGATGGTCCTACCTGAACACAGGGTTGGACAAGATAATTCTCAGGGATACCTTCTGACCATTCTGTGATTTTGTGAAGCAAAATCAATTACCTTAAGAACTGGTGCCTTTTCTTCACAGATAAGCACACGAATATCAGGATTCCGTAAATCTGTACAATAGATCTTCCTGTCTCTTCCTCCTGAATAAACATGAGTGAATGCTTCATTGACCTGCAGAGCCCAAACACCTTCATCATGGACTCGATATGTGGCTATACATCTCTGCTGCCCAAGGGACCACAGACGAATAGTCCCATCAGAACTGCCTGAAAGACACTGAGCAACAATCATTGTAATTTCATAAAAACCTTTCATCATTCTTCTTTTTCCACTAAGATGATGCTAAATGAGAAGTGGCAGTTAACAACTCCCGTCACTATTTCCAGACAGCTTGTATTCATCGCTTTCCCATACATGAACACCATTCACTGCCAGCCACCCCCTCAATCACTCAGCATCTAAGCAATTCCTGTTGGTATATCTTCTGTAATCGACAACACAGAACAGTTATCGTGCTGAAAAGACATTAATGACATTTCCGTGTTCTGCAAAATGCCTTGCCTCAAATAGAAGCACATACCTGGGTACCATCTCTGTTCAACAGCAAAGCTTTTACGTTGTCTGTGTGCCCTTTGAGTTTCATTAGTTTTGCACAAGTTCTTGGATCCCACACCCTGAGAACCTACACAAACAGACACAGAATAACTGCATTAACATTCTTTCCATTTATGCATTTTCTCTATATAATTAAGCCTTTCTGAACAAACTGACCCTTACCCTCAACAAGTACACATCCATCACCAAAAGCATGTTTTGTTAGAACAGGATACACAACTATATCTTATGCATCTCTAATAAACAGACAGATTTTCTTCCCTTGATTGTAATGGCATTTGTTCTGGCTTTTTCTGTTGTCTTCTTAAGATCTTAAAGAATGTAAGTGATTGGAAGCAAGACAACACGTGGAAAGAAAAAGAATTCTGAGAACCTGGCTGGTATATCCTACTTTCATTTTCATATAGACAAGGAACTCCTGGGTGTTTTACCTTTCTCTATAACAAACACCATCAAACACAAAGTTTCACTAGCTCACTTTACTAACCACCCCATGGGGGCCTTGGAAGTTGCTGTATCATTTCTTTTTCACCAGTGGTACATGCTTCAGTTTGTATGATCAACTGAGTAATATGCCCCCAAAATTAGAGCTCTTTCAATGAAATTAAATGATCTCTGATGTACGGATGTTTACACAAGTCATAGTTTTGATACGTAATCTATAGGTGACTGATATTTCAACTTCCACTCAAAAAAAAAACAAAACCAACCCAAGAAAACCTCACTTTCCTTACTTAAAACACAAAAGCTGCTACAGATGTAAAACTGAACACCAGTAAAATTGTTTCTTTACATTAAGATTTGAAGAGAAGCAGAATAAGCCTTACTAGATTTTTGCTTACCTTCTCAGTGGACCCTGATACAATAACTGTTCCCATTTGATTCATTGCAAGGCTATAGATGGAATCTTTGTTCCCACTCAGGGAAGAAGCTGTTTCAAAAGCAAAAAGTTAACATTTTCGATTTTAATGTTGCCACTTGAAAACGTACTTATTTATTCACTAAAAAAAAAGCCAAAAAAAAAAAACACCAAAAAACCCACTACAGAATCAAATGTAGGTTTTGATCTATAATAGTGCCATCCTACTCCACATATGGGGCTCTGCTAAAAAAAGGAGCAAGACTGTAGACAGCATATTGCTATGTTTTCTGATTCGTGATCCAGTGTTGTATAAAACCTCACATTTATGGTCACTACACTCCTGGTGTCCACAATGATTCAATGCAAGGTAATCTCATGGTTCTCAACTGCTTAGAGAATGGTACTTCTAAGTGATTTCCTAATAAGTGCTTGGATTTAAGCACAGAGATTTTTCCTAGCCAAGCAAGCTAAAAAGTGGTAATAAAAATCTTTGAGTTTAGCACGCTGTCCAACAAACATATAACCTATAAAAGGCTTTAAAACTTCCTCCATAGTGCTAATGCAGGCAGGAGGACACTGGGAATGTAGGACAGAATCACAGAAACAAAATTCATGCTGTAACAAAAGCAGTGCTCAACTCCTTCCTCTTCTAGAAGGGACAGTCACTCAGAAGCAAAACTCCTCATCCAATTTAAACTACAGCTATGCTGACTGAGAGACAATCTTTAAAAACAGGCTTCCTTTTAATGTTGGCTTGTGTACATTGCTTCCCTGTAATCAGACAGCAAATTAAACCACAGCCTTCACTTGCACTCCAATGAAATGCTGTTTGAAAGGACTGTGCAAAGCCAGTTCATTCACAACACACGTTCTTCCCACCAGAAGCATTTTTAGTTGGGAGCACTGTACTTAGAGAGAACAACTTTGCCTGCTTCTCTTCCCTCTCCCTTACCATGCACTACTGCTCTAACACCAGAAAAGCAAATTTATGTCTGTCATCTTAGAGGTAATGCCTCTATTTCCTTTTCATTTTGTGCTCAGAACAAATCATTTGGGTTCTGTATCACAGTAGCAGCGTTCAAGAAACTAATTTTTCCCCCCTAGACCAAGTCTTCCTAAGAGCAAGACTTTCCTCAAAAATTCCCTGTTCAACCAAATCACAACATGTCTTAAAGTTATCAGCAAAATCTGGTGACAAAACACTTCTCTGAGCGATAGCAAACTTCCACGGGAAACACATACAACTATTTAGAAGTCAGCTCTGCTGGAGGCCACACAAACATGCCAGCACAGGGCTAAAACTGAATTAAAAATCCTATACACAGATCAAACACTCTGTATAAAATGAAAGAGACCACTCACTTTGAACAGTATACTTTGGAAGTACCTACAGGCAGCAAAGCACACTATGATCAAACTAGATCTCCTTCCACAAAATGTAAGAGCCACCACAAAACAGGATGCTGATGGCCCAAATTTGTGTCACTCACTCAAGCAATTAAATATTACCCAACTTGAAGGTTGGTGTCACACTTTCCAGAAGAGAAACTTGACCAACACTGTTCTGACAATTCTAAGAAACTGAGGTTGGGATTGCTCTCTAGGTGAAAAAACAGTAAATTTCAATATACTGTAATATCTTTAAAGGGACAGAGAATACTGTAATATCTTTAAAGGGACAGAGTACTCCTTAAAATATGATGATAAAATTAAAGATTAAACCTGATGTAGAACCTACTGACAGTGTCCCCTTGCCTTCTAACATTTAACTACCAAGTTAGATCTCTCCAGTATCCTACCATTACTTCTATTTCACCACAATGGCAGGAATTCTTATCAAAGTTTATCTAGTAACTTTATTCTTCTGACAGATACACCTATTGAATGTACCAAATTCTGCTCTAGGGGCTGTACTACATTTGTTGCAGCAACTAAATAAACACAAAACACATTACAGAAATTCTCCCTCTGAATATTTCTCAGTGCATTTTCTGCATTAGCTAAGGAGCAAAAAGCTTCTTAAGCTCTGTGAACTTCTGATGAACAACAGCTCATTACATCTCAGGAGAAGAGGCCCAAATAGACCTGTATCTTTATTCTGAGCATCATGACTGTTGGCTGTTCAACATCTGCAACTATTATACAACACAATAAGTGAACCAAGTATATACCCTCAAAAACTTAAGGACTCTTGCACATTTTTTAATCTGCACACAGAAATGGGTATCTTTGGTCTTAAAATGATCTCACAGATTATGCTAGTTCAATAAAATATGCTGCATTTGTCTCCCATCCCCAGGTACCTACTTGTGACAGTGTTGTTTGAGGCAGTCAGTGCTGTTAGAGTATTTACATCCCAGAGGAATATTTGTCTGTCCAGCCCGGCAGATGCTACCAGTTCTTTATCTTTTGCATATGCTAAGGCTTTCACATAATCCTATAACAAAGTGTAACAACGTGACTCAACAATATTATACACCTGAAGCTTACATTACAACATTTAAAAGGTTGTCAATTGTAATATACAGTAGTTCCAAATGTTTTTCACCTTATGTGTCCTTAGTGTTGACATGCAAAATCCTTTATGTGCGTTCCACACTTTCACAGTAGTATCTGAAGAAGCAGATATCACTAAATGGGGAAGGATAAAGAGTGAACTTTAATAGCTTATATATTACCTTAGAAGATGCTTGAACAATCCTCTGTGCTTCTTAACAAATGATTCAATGAAAACAGAATGTGTAGGTATGATTATTTAAACGTGCTCACAGTGTTTTAGCACATTATAAATAAACACAAATAAATTTTACATGCTTACAGAAGACACAATTTAGTACTTACATGTTTTACCATTGCAGCAGAGTACAATATCATTTACCCAATCTGTGTGATGCTCCATAGATGCAATATAAGGGTCTTGCTGAAAATTACAAAAAAAAAAAAAGTTTAAAATCCCCTTGTGAAAGGAAAAGACAATGCAATTATCAGATCCTGTTGTGACATTTGCAATCTTCGAATGGACCAAAAGTTGACTAACACGACGCTGCTTGAAGTCACTATTCCACTTCTTTTAAAATATAGTATTACAAAGTAGTTTTCAGGGAACCCCCTATATATTTTAAACACATTCCCATTTCATGATGAATTTCACCTCAAAACGTTTAGTTTTCTGTCACAGAAAAACAACCAAAATGGCAGTGTCTGCCAAGCTAAAGTTATTTCTGCACTTATAAGATTAGACTTCTGCTACAGAGAGGAACAGAACAACTAAAACACAATACAAAGATCTCTCAGACATGAAGCTTATAGAACCACAGAATTTTAGGGGCTGGAAGAGACCTCAAGAGATCACAGAGTCCAACCCCGCTGCTAAAGCAGGTCCCTACAAGCAGGGCAGACAAGTAGGCATCCAGAGAAGCCTTGAACATGTCCAGAGGAGACCACATCACCTTCCAGCACAGGCCGTTCCAGTGCTCTGTCCCTCTGACAGCGCAGAATTTCTTCCTTGTGTTAGTATGGAACTTTCTAGGTTCCAGATTCTGCCTGCTGCCCCTTGTTCTATTATTGCTCGCCACTGAAAAGAGTCTGACAGAAGTGTTATCTCCTGCATATTTCACATAGAAGCCCTGGTTTCCAGTAATCTACTCAGATTCATAATGCTCACCTTTTGTTCAGAGGAAGCCAAGGCTGGTGACCCCTAAGTGCAAAGCAGCTTGGCAGAAAAGGACTCGGGGGTCCCTTGGACATCACGTTGAACATGACCTAGCAGTGTGACCTTGCTGCAAAGAAGGCTAATGGTATCCTGGGCTGCCTTATGCAAAGAATCACCAGCAGGCAGAAGGAGGTGATCCTTCTGCACTGTGTCCAATTCTGGGCCCTCCAATACCAGAGAAACATGGAACTACTGAAGAGAGCCCAAGAAAAGGCCAAGGCAATTAAGTGTCTGAAACACCACTCCTCCGAGGAGAGTCCAAGAGCCAGAGTTGTTTGGCATAATGCTTTAATAAGCTTTCCTTAGCTAGAAGATCAAAAAGAAAGTGGAGCTAACAGGATGTGATCAACTGATCTTAATTAATAAAGGGGAGATAACGAGTAGAGATCCTCCCAAGATACCGGAATATATGAAAGAGTTCAACAAAAGTTCATTTGTAACTAACACAACATACACAGACTTAAGCAATCTTTTTTGATGACTGCTTTATCACTGAAAATTGCAATATTCTATATTGAATTTATCTCAGTTGTGATTAGTTCTTCAGGACGTTGGCCCAAATGTGGGTTTATAAACTCCAATACATCCTGTTACAATATGAACATTTACCAAAAACATTTTTCTACCATGATTGGCTGTTGTTAAAAACTGGTACATCTGGTATACACCTGTAGCGTGCTAACTGAAAAAACACAAAGCAGATTTAGACTGAGAAATCCTCTTGGCTTACCTTGTGCTGATTGACACTCCATATCCTTATAATAGAGTCTCGGCCTGCTGTGAAGAGTCTATTTAATGCTGGATCCAGCTGAAGTGCATTTACCCCATTTCGGTTATACTTCTCCACCTCATCTCTAATCACATAGGAGACCTAAAATACATTTACACAGACCTGATTATGGTATTAAGATACTGAATGGGCCATAAAACGCTACCAGCTAATTTCATTCCAGTGAGGTTCTCAGGTAGGAAATACTAAGAGCTTTAAAAGCATTAAATGAGTCCGCCAGTTTGAAAGTCACCATCACTAACCTCAGCCAATTTCCTCCCTCTGAAAACAGGGAAGAGTTACAAAGATGTTCAGTGCTGCACAAGGAGCCCAAGGGATTATTTAATCCTTACAAATCAGGCTTAGACTGGGAGAATCCTCAGTTAAATTCCCCGCTTTGCACAGAGATTCTGGATGATCCCAAACAACATGATGCATTCGTGGCTCATTTTCTAAGCAGGTTTCACGTTTTCTAAAGCTGTGATGACAGTGTTTCTCAGCCTTGCAGGGAGAGGATGCCACCAGTATTACCAGGATTACAAAATACTGCAAGCTCAAATTCTATCCCAGCTATTACTATTAATATTATTATGGCAATTGGAGAAAGGCATTATTTTTATATTTTTTAGGTTTTTTTTTTTTCTTTTTTAAAGAACACACATCTCCTTTCTAACATAAGCAGAAGTATTTAGTCTTCTTCCAATTAGGGGAATTCTTGTTTCAGTCCTTCTGTACCTGACAGCACAGTGTGTATTGCTCACTTCATTGTTTTATTCAAAAACATTAAATGGAGAATTAAGGGGACAAACTGCAAGTCTTACAATGCTCTCCACTATGACTCCTGCAGTAAGCACAGTTATAAAGCACTACAGATGCTTCCAAGCCAACCCATTCACCCAACCATTTCACATCATGCTGCCTCCTAACCATTTACACAGTCGTTTGCATATGGCTAAGAAGAAAGCTCTCCCCATTCAGAGACAATGTGGGAGAACCAAAAGCTATCCTCCTTTCCAGACACTGGAAAACAATTACAACAGGGTAAAACATTAAGCTTGACAGAATACAGCCTGCCAACAGCAGGAATCATTCGGATATGTAAGTGCCAGTGCTTTGAAAACTCTTTCAAGGAGTAGTTTTGGACTTAATGAAATTAATTTTTCAGGCCAATAAGCACCTTAGAGCAGCATAAAGAAAATGTTTTCCACTGACCAACCAGGTATAACACTGCTGTTAAAAACACATGGAGCTCTTGGAGCAGGTCCAGAGGCAGCCACTAAGATGATCAGAGGGCTGGAGCACCTCTCCTACGAGGAAAGGCTGAGGGAACTGGGCTTGTTTAGCTTGGAGAAGAGAAGGCTCTGGGGAGACCTCAATGTGGCCTTCCAGTACTTGAAAGGAGAGTATAAATAGGAGGGGGAAGGATTGTTCACAAGGGTGGATTGTGATAGGACAAAGGGGAATGTTTTTAAAGTGAGACAGGGGAGGTTTAGGTTAGATATTAGGAGGAAGTTTTTCCACACAGAGGGTGGTGAGGCACTGGAACAGGTTGCCCAAGGAGGCTGTGGATGCCCCATCCCTGCAGGCATTCAAGGCCAGGCTGGATGTGGCTCTGGGCAGCCTGGTCTGCTGGTTGGTGACCCTGCACATAGCAGGCGGTTGGAACTGGATGAGCATTGTGGTCCTTTTCATCCCAGGCCATTCTGTGACTCTGATATGACTGTACATACAGGGCAAAATGTCCCTGCAGCACTTCATCTGGCCTCAACCACACCACATCTGTGTTGTTAAAATGCCCATGCAGCCTACCTAACTCAAAGAACGTTACAATCAAAGTCAAGGTCTAACACACAAAGCAAGAAAGATGGGCAAAGTCACATTGCTTTCCAACTTTTGAATAAAAGCAATGAAAATACCAAATGCAAGATGTTCAGCTCTTTACAAGCTCCTTTACAGCTCTTGTTCATATTTTGAGAGAAGCGAGTAAATGAGAGCAAGTATCTTTTTAAAGAGTTAACAGGTCTCTGATAGACTTAAGAGCAAATGGAAGATGCGGGTATAGTTAATAGTTAATTACATGTTAATATGCAATTTAAAGGGGCAAAATAAAGTCTGCCAAAAGGGGGCTAGAATGCTTCTCAAAACAAGGAACTTGAAATCGAGCAATAAACAGCAGCAATTTGATTTAAAATATCTGACAGTTGTTTAAGGCTGGTGGACAGCAGTCACATTCAATAAAGCCTAGAGATCACTAGGGCGAACAAAGCAAGAATGCAGGTTATCCACATGTCACTCTCCATCATTGCCTTATTTTTGAGGAGAAAGGTCTGAAGTATTATTACTTGGTTTTAGATTGGAGTGATACTCAAAATAGAAATAACAACTGTTAGAAAATATGGTAACAATGCAATAATTATGAAGTACATACTCAAGTATGTGTACACAAATGCACAAAACAGTAGATACAAGAGGTTTTTCTGTGATTAAATTCTCCTCCAAGCCACAGCACAGACATTTTTCCCAGTCCAGATGAGGTGGCACTGCATTTGGACAGGACTGTGAAGGTCATCAGGAAGCCACGACTTGCACCACCTGGCAGACATTTCAAACCAGGCAACTGAGAGCACACTGCTGCTTGGTTCACTGCATTGATTGATTCACAAAGCCAGCATCAAACACAAAGATGACTGAACTTGCTGTGATATTGCCATTTGATGGTCCAAGCAGGGCAAGATGTGGCATGAAATACTTCAATAATGACCAAGGCTTTTTACGTTTATTATGCTGTAGCATTTATAAACTCCTAACAAATAACAACACTTCACTGCAGTAAACACTGCAGAAATATTACAGTGACGAACCCTCACTATAAAGAATTTATGGGACTCAGTACCTTAAATGGATCAGGACTAGCCATTTTAATGACTAAAAGCACCAGAGACACAGGTAATATCAACAGATACATTTCAGTACACAAGTCCAAGTTCTTACAGCACCTGTAATGCATTTCCTTCATCAACTCTATTAGCCAGATGGAAGTTTTGCTTCCCTAGTTACAACACACACATTAAGACAGATTTTCTTTACGTACAGGTAGAATCTGCCTTCAAAAATGCCAGCATTCCTCTGGAGGAAACAGTGAACAGACAAGGTATGAAGGTACACAATCCTTTTTTTAAGTAGAGGGAAATTCTCAGACACCTGCTGTCATAGACAACTGGGAAAAGATATCTTTCAAGAACCCTAGAATGCATTGGCTGCATTAAAAAATAAGAGATGAAGCAGATAACCACTAAGGAAAAGATAAAACAACAAGCCGTTCCTTCAGCATTTTGGCACTGCAGATGGTACTCTTTAAAATAACCTAAGCTTCTAAAACTAAGAATATATTGATATTTAAGTTTTCATCAGAGGATTCAAGCCCAGAATAACAGTAATGTGTTTAGGAGTTCATCTTATCTTTTTACAGTGAATCAATTTACTGGGTAAGGATTAGATAGAACGTGACACATAACATCTTTAAAAAAAATATACTGCATACAAAACCTACCCTGTTCTTACTAAGTTCTATCATTCAAAAATAAAGTCAGTAGCTGAAATATTTCTAACTATAGAAGTTTTCCCTTTCACTACTTTCCAGTTGCTGTCAAGATGTTTTAGTGAATCAATATAACAAAATCAGTGCAAAGTCTTCTTATTCTGTACAGGCCTTTATCTTTAAGATAAAAACACTTAAAATTGATTCAAATTTCATAACCAAGATATTGGTCCAAATCATATTGATGTTCACCAGTTTTGTCAAAGGATTTGGAGAAGAGAGTTACAATTGCTCTGGACAAGCAGCAGGTTTGGGAAAGCATTTGTAAGCTTCTCCTGAAGGGAAGCTACTTTAAGACACCAGCTGAAAAATGGCTTCACCTCAAATTAATTCAGAGTATGACATCAGAAAGCCACAGCACACAGCCAACTGCTTCTCATCACACAGTGGTGTTTATTACTCCCAAACCCTGCACCTCCATCCCCACCCAGTTAAGGGGACCTTACAGTTTGGACACCAACACATTTCAAATGAGTGCCTTACATTTAAATAATTATAGTTCTTACCTTTATCCACGTTATTTTGAGGTCTGAAACACCTATCCTGATTAAACCCTTACGCAATATACAATTATATCCAGAAGCATCCCACACTATTTTGAATGGTTCTACTGACCAGTAAAACAGGTGCATCAGAGACAACAACAGTTCAAACTTGCATAAATCTTAACCAGCTCTCATACCCTGTAAAAGAATCAGGTTCCTCCATGCCTGATGGACATTTTTCTAATCAGATTTCAGGATAAATCTCTATTATTTGAAGCAGAAACATACTAAACGCTCAGTCATTGGGAAGCAGAATAAACTGTTAATGGTTTTTACTTTCTACCAGCAGCTGACGGATGTAAGAGCCACTGAGAATACCTGACCAAAATGTGTATTTAACCAAGTGAGTGAAATAATAGGACTACAATAAAATACTTTGTATGTGCTTATCATGTAACCAAAGTTATTCTCTGTTGATCTAGACTTGGAGTACACTGGCTGAAGTCCAGATCAGTATAGCAGGATATAGAGAAGCAAAAGCATCAAGTAACACAGTGATAACAGTTCATCAAATAAATAGCCAGTTTGCCTTTCTTGGGAGGCCAATCTTCAAGAACTTGTGCATGCTACAGATGATGCTGCAATATTTTATTCTTTGTGTTTTTGAAAACGCCAGTGGGTTTTTCAGAAGGGCACGGAGGTTCTTTATGCAGCACTGACCAAGTGCTTACATTAACTATAAAAAACCACTATAAGCTAAAAACATTTCCCCTATGCGACAGAACACAAAAGATGCCTTAATACACAGCACCCACCTCTGTTTGGAAGGATGCTGAGACTATTTCAAGCCAAATCGATATATGTATATTTTTAATATAAAGGTTAGCTGAAACTTGCACTTACCACTAAAGGTAGGCATAAAACATTAATCCTCTTCTATACCGAAAGACAAAAAACCATTTAAAGTGCCGGCAGTATCCCGAACAAGATAACGAAACATCACAATAAACCCATTTCCCTGACTTTTACCATTCACTGCCACAGCCTGACCGGTCTGCGGACTTCCCTTTGGAATGGCTGCCGGGAGCCGGCAGGGTGGCTCAGTTCTGCATCCCCCGAGCTGAGGAAACCGCTTCCCTTCAACCCCTCAGCCGGGCCGCGGAGCCGAACACCACCTCCTTCACGGAGCAACGCGGAGACCCGTCCCCAGCAACCATCGCCCCCCTCCAGTGCCCCGCCGTCACCCTGAGGGCGGCCCACGCGTATCCACACCGCCCCGAAGCCCCGCTACTCCCCGCAGCCGCGCACCCACCTGCACTTTCCGCCGCCCCGCCGTGTTCTGCCGGTGATGCGCCGCCATCTTGCATGTTGACACTGTGACGTCACTTCCGAGGAGGATGAGCCGTTCCGGAAGTCCCGCCCCCCTCTCTGCCCAAAGCCCGTATAGAGGAGAGCGTTGACTGAGGCGTTGCCAGGCAACTGCGAAGGGGGCGGGGCCAGAGAAGGAGGCGCGGTGAGCGTTTCCGCCCTGCCGTGGCCGCGCGCCATTTTACGCCTTTAGTTTTATCTTCTGGTCGTCGGAGCTCTGGGTGCGGGCTCATCTCCTTACTCATCCCACCGCTTCCTGATTGTTTTCTTCCTATTGGTGGCCGGAGGGACAGGTTTTTATCCCTGGGAGAGCAGTGGAGGCGTGGCCTATGGGCTGAAGTTGTTCGACTCCATCTGAGGTGCTGACAGAACGCTGGTGCATGGCCCCGACACTGAGGTGCTCTGGCTGCATCAGGCAGTGCTTCTGTGCTGCTGAAGGCTTCACATGTGCCTTTAAATGTCATAGAACGGCTTCAGTTGGAAGAGTCTTTAGAGATTATTGGGTGTTGGAGCTGGCACAGGCAGGATTTTCCCCTGCTGGATCAGGCTGCCCATTGCCCCATCCAGGCTGGCCTTGAGCACCTCCAGGGGTGGGGCATCCACAGCTTCTCTGTGCCAATGCCTCACCATCTTCTGAGTAAAGAATTTCCTTTAAACATTTAAGCTGAATCTCCCCTCTGATAGTTTAAAGCCATTCTTCCTTGTCCTGATGATATCAGGCCATGTAAAAAGTTGCTTCCTCTCCTGTCTGTGTGCTTACGTACTGGAAGGCTGCAGTGAGTATCCCCAGAGCCTTCTCTTCTCCAGACTGACTACCCCCAGCTCCTTCAGCCTTTTTTCATAGGAGAGGTTCTCCAGCTGTCTGGGCATCTTTCTGGCTCTCCTCTGAACTCACTCCAGCAGCTTTGCATCCTTGTGCTGGAGGTCCAGGCCTGGTCTCAGCACTCCATGTGGGGCCCCCCGTGGGCAGAACAGAGGGGGACAGCCCCCTTCCACTTCCTGCTGCTGCCCCTCTGTTGATATCACCCAGTATGCTGTTGGCCTTCCAGGCTGCAAGTGCTTCTCTGCATAGTTGTTCTCAAAGAGTTCTTTGTAGACGCACTTCGGATTGCCCTGACAGCACCTTGCACTTGGCTATGTTGAACCCCATTAGGTTTGTTTACATGGGACCATTTTTCAAGCCTGTCCAGGTCCTTCTGGATGGCAGCCATTTTATAAGTGCGCTGGGGGTCAAATGCTCAGCCTGACTTTTGAGCTTTCCTACTGAGAAAATAGCAAAGATTCAAACATCTTCCCTAGAGAGCCTGGGAAGATTGTATTATTTTGTCTAATAGAAAATACTTGCTCAAATTTTGAGTGTATGACTATGAAAGTCTATGCTGCTTTTTAGAGGAATGCCTCCCAGCTTCAAAGCATCTCTTTGTTGCTTAACCCATTAATGCATGAAGTGTTGAGTTGCAGCAATGATGATATTCTGGATTAAGATCTGTATAGAATTGTGCATAGGGATGTTATCTTGGAGGGTTTGTTTTGGTATTGATTATTTCATTTTCTTTAAAACAGAAAAGATGACTGGAATAGGAGATTGGTGAAATGCACAGAGAATCAATAATCCTAGTGAGAAGCATTTACAGTGACAAAAAAACTGGTAAAGGAATAAATAAAAAAATATATAGTCACGTATTCACATTGCTGATTGCTGATTGCAGCCATGCTCACTGGCCACTCATTAATGCTAATACAAACTGCTTATTCTGATAAGAAATGCATTTTCCAGCACTGCTGAGTGCAGTGTCCTCCTTGCAATTGCAAGCAGAGGGTAAAAGAGATCAGCCTTGGCGTAAGCTCTTCCTTAGCAGCTCTATTTCCACTATTTCCTGTTACTACAATGTTAAAGAGCATATGATTCAAAACATCTAGGATAGATGTGACAAAGTTGTACTGCTTAGCACATTACATTTTTTCTAAGATAAAATTAAAGCTCTTTATTTTTAAGCAAAAATTGAGTTGTATATTAGCATTAAGCTAACAGTAATTATCAAATTGTTTCAGATGCATGCGTTTCCTATGTAATCTTAATGGACTGTGAACCAAAGAGGTAGTATAAAGTTTTTCTGCTTAAGTAAATACTGAACCAAGTGCGTTCCCACATTTCAATATGCATTAGTCCATTACAGGGTTTAAGACTTCTTTCCATGGAACAATAATTATCATGCATACCTTAAAAATCTCTCTTAAAGTCTCTCTAATAAAGATATTGACATGTTTATGATTTCTGTGTTATTCTGATAAAATGGAATAATTTATTTAATAAACCCTAATAATCATTTCATAATCCTTGAGCACAAATGGATTTTTCACTTAGCAGAGTTAATCTTCATACTGTGTCTTCAAGGGCAGTCTTATGTGATTCTGTGATTCTTGATGGTATATTAAAAAAAAAGAGATTTGTTTATTAACTGTGGACCATTTTTACTTACATTGTAATGCAATTTCAAAATTGATTTTTCCTCTCTGCGTGTCAACTGATTACATGTGGATAGTCCCTGCTACACAGTGTTTCTTAAACCCCTCTGACCAACAGTTCATTACTGAAAGGAGAAAAAAACATGCACAGAGCTCACTTTGTATCGTAGAACCTCTGAAGTTGGGAGGGATCCCTAGAGATTGCGTAGTCCATCAGAGGTTGTCTTTGCTGAAACACAAGAAGTATCATGGTGGTAAGCAATAAGTTGCTGCTTTCTGTGTGTCTGAGCTGCACTTTCAGCCTGTTACTCATTCTCATTCATCACTGACATGAAGCAAGGCTGGGCTGATACAGAGCCTTGAAGACAAACTGCACAAAAAATAGGGTAGATAAGGTTTTCTATGTTATGTGCTGAACTGACATGGCATTTTAGGAAAGCAATAACATCATCAAATGTATAAGGTTAACTGCTTTTGGCTTTGGAAGAGAAGAAACAAGATTTGTAGATAAATCCAGGGATTATTTTTCAATTTCCCTAAAACTCTGATCATCTTTGGTTGAATTGTAACCTTCTGAAAACGCTGGTGTGAGCAAATAGATGTTGAGCCAAAAAGGAAGTGGGAGAGAACTGAGCAGGATTCAGGAATTAGGGCAGGGCATCGAGATAAGGAGAAAAGCAAGTAGATGCTTACTGGATAAGTAACCGCTGTAATAAATCAAAAGATGAAGATGAAATTTCCTCAGTAATAATAAGGTCAAAAATACTATTGCATTTTCCAGCTTCTTCCCTCTGCTGTTGTGAGGTTTGGCTGTCACAGCATTAAAAATAAAAACCTTACAAGAATTTAGACATAAGATATAACTGTGATGTGGAGCCTGTAGGAATTACAGTGAAAAGTTTGAATGTTTATTGGCTGCAGCAGAGAAGACGAAAGGAAACATTATAGCAGTTTTCAAATAATTGAGAAGGAGTATGGGATAAACTCATCTTCATGTCCATGGTGAATGAGGAGTAATGGGCTGTAATTGCAGTTCAGGAGATTCATATGAAGCACAAGAACATTTCTAGGCAGTCCGAATAGTGAAGCATTAGAGTATGTTGTATATGGAGGGGCTGGAATCACCATCTGTTGTAAGAAGAGACGAGGCAAATATCTCCAGGAATTACATCAGTATTGCTGATGCAGTTTGAGGATGAATCAGGACCAAGGTGGCTTTAGAGTATCACTTCCAACCCCATTTTTTAATATAATTATAGAATGTTTTTCAGAAGCAAAAAGCTCTTGAATCCTGCAGGAAGCGCATTAATAGATGATACAGTTGGGAGAAGAACTACATAAAATCAAGCTATGAAGAAATATCATTTTAAGACCAGCTAATCACTGAAGAAAACCCCAAAGGACATGATGAATTTTATGTAATTTGAAGCCTATATATAAATTATGGGTGTAACTCAGAAGAAATTGTTTGAAATTACTTTATTTAGTCTGTATTTGATGGGATCACAGAATCACAGAATTATAGGGGTTGGAAGGGGGACCTCCAGAGATCATCGAGTCCAACCCCCTGCCAAAGCAGGTTCCCTATAGCAGGTCGCACAGGTAGGCATCCAGGCAGGTCTTGAACATCTCCAGAGTAGAGCCTATTTTATTGCGGGGCTAATTTTTTTTTTATTACCCCATTGATGTGACTGCATCAACAAGACATTTGTTCAACCCACCTTAGTCTCCTTCATTTTCCAAACCTTCTGTAAAAGTCACATAAATACATAAATACGTTCACAGAGCAACATGCAAGGGCCACAGTCTTTGCTTGTGTTTGCTGTCTGTTTCTGTTCTGTTCTGTTCTGTTGTTTTCTGTAACTGCCCCTCTTGCTTCTAGATTAAGATCCAGAAAGTTGCAGAATTCCTCTCAAATAAAGCTTAAAGTATAAAAATACAAAAAATATTTTCAGTTATGTTTCTTGCTCTCTTCAGAATGAAGGGATATTAGTAGGGCCTTAATGAAAAATACTAGAAATCATTTTACAGTTGCTCTGTTTTTGACTGCTGGATGAGGAGTTACTTCCCACACTGGCACCTGGTGGAGGCAGTAAGGCAGGTGAGGTCTGAGCATACATCAGAAGTGTATGAGCAATGGTTCTGTGGATAAAATAGCAAAATAGTGACTATACAGTTATTTTTAATGACTGCCATTGATGTAAGTAGCAATCATGAAATAGAACCAGAATGACGGCATCTGGAAGCAAAGAATGAAACTAATTTTTCTAGATTTTTAAGTCACTTTGATAAATCACACGCCCAAGTTAGCCTGAGGGGAGGGACAGAAAGAACTGAAGGACTGGAGGCTTGGGAGGAAGTCAATGAATAATTATTTCCACTTTAACATTGCTTTAAATATGCTTTCTAGCATTAGTCTAAGATTTACTAAATATTGCATTCTGCTTCTCCAGCATATATAGTTTGTTTGCTTTAAATTTGTAAAGCCGTTTGCTATTACATTTTTTATTGCATTCTTGACAAAGAGTTGAAGTTTAGACTTGAATCTTCCAGGGAAATACAGTAAGAAGCCTTTTTTAAACTGGATGCTCAGACTTTGGTGGA